ACGGACAGACTGGGCGGGGGGAGGCCGTTCTGCTGCTGGATCTGCACCTCCCCAAAGTGGGCTAAGTTCCCTGTCAGCATAGCCCTCACGACACCAGAGGGGTTTGTAGTACTTTATTGGCATCTCGGGGGAAATCTGCATTCTTTGCAGTTTAAGCAATCTTATTCCCTTTCACACAAATCTGAGAGAAGGTATAATGACCCTGCTTAATGTGGCCAAACAGCACTCGTCAAGCCTCGCTCTTTCTGCCTCTCACATGAAGGGTTACATTATAACTACTGAAGTATTGCCTTTTAAGGCTGCTGAAGACAAACGGGTGTCCTTTAGACTCTGTAAGTGCACAGGTATTTAATACATCTGCTGAAATTAAACTCTAGTCAAACTACTGATTGCTCTCCGCACCCTTTTCCCACTTCAATCATTAATGGACATTTTCCACAAGCAAGTTAACAAAACACCTAAGAAGACAATGAACTTTGGACATATTCATTCCAGAGTCTCTCCTTCTATGCAGATTGTGTAAGGACTGCAAATGTACAAAAGGATGCTTCCCAATCTGGACCACAGGTTACAGGACAGTTCTCCATCTCAGATTATGTACCTTCTTTTTAAAGAAACAAAAACAAACAAAAACCCCCAAACCAAAAAACCAACCAGCCAAACAAAAACCCCTGAACATCCGCCCCTTTACCCAGGGTGATAATTCCTTTTGGGTCAGTTTTGGGGTGATCAGTACACCAGCTGCATTCCTTGCTGGGAAGGACCCCTTCCAGGATGGCTATGTGAATACCCTTGTAATTTCCTCTCTGTACCCTCAGGAGCTGCTGCTGCACTGTCTGCAGAGTAGAGAATATTTCTATATCATCTGTATGCTGTACGGCTGCTAATGACAAAGAACAACATATCCTGCAACCACCGGCTTACCAAAAATAAGGTAACTTTTTAACTAGGTGCTGCTCTCATCCCTGGCCAAGCTACATGAGCGTCTTTATCCTGTGGGCTCTTAAACCCCAGAGGCTGGGGGAGGGAGGGGTTTGTAGGCATTATTCAATGTTTTACTTCATTTTCTATTTTAAAGTGAGGATTTAAGAATTATTCTGGTGATGTGTGGGACAAAAGCATGGTTATGAGAGGTGCAGCTATGGCACCGTTATAATTCACTTGCCTTTGAAGGCCCTGTAGGAAGGGTTTCTGAAGTGAAGAAATGAGAAGATTAATCGGTGATTTGACATCTAGGCCAGATGGCAGTTGCCAAAATACTGTAGGCCAAGCCAGCAGAAACCTAGGGTTGGAGGGAGCTGCGTTGCTTGTTATGAAACCAAGGACAAAGGAGACATGGAGGAGGCAAAAAAACCTCTAGCATTTTGTTTCTGTGGCTTGTTTTCACAGGTCTGCCTTTTGCCAGCAAGGTTGCCCTCTCGAAATTACGGTATGCGCTTGACTGGCATGTTCATATGAGAAGCGGAGTTAATTAAAAGCGGAGGACTTGTCATCTGGAGGGCATCCAGAGAAGTTAAAGCAAAGCAATTAGGCTCAATATGTATTCATTTAAAGCGCATTTTAATCCTCAAGTGGGGTTTCTCATTCAGGTCCAAAGCTGCCTGTGATCTGAAGTCAGTTTGCTTCTCACTAGGACCGCGTCCTCTGCATAAAGGTCCAACGTATTTCAGTGTACGCTGTAACTGATATGCCTTAACTCTTCTGAATGTTCCTATGTAGATAAACCATTATGAACTTCAAGCTTCTCGTATGCAGTAGTCTATTGACTACTTGCAAATACACCAATATTCTTCTGCACCATTTTTTGACACTCATAACCAATTTTGCTAGAGTGAAATGTCCTGTGCTTAATTTTAGCCCACAACATTGGTTTTTAAGCTTCTGTAGAATTCAAAGAGCAAAACACTTACATCAAGCACTGTAACGGGAACTGGAGCTTTATATGCACTTGTATGCAAAAAGGCTTTATCATATTATTAGTTTTGTATTGAAGTGTAGGAAACAGCACATCTTGAACGGTTGTTGCAGAATTGTTATATTCTAGCCATCTCTCATGTGGCTATGGAAAGATTTCAGTTAGCCTTTCAATTTCAGGCTGTGTCCTGGAGCCCAAGAAGTGATCAAAGTAAACAGAGGCCCTTTACTGTCTGGACAGCTGTCTTCAGTCATTTCTTGTTTCTGCAAGTCAGTGCACGTATGTTCCCGAATGGCTGTGCTCTCCCAAAGCCATCTCTGCCAGTACCAAGGTAACCTTGCTTTTCCTAATATCTAAACCAGTATCTGTTGATGGATTTTAAGTGCACCGACCTCTTGTAGTTGTCTAATGTGTATGCAGAACAATTAATTCCTTTCTCTTTGCAGTAACTTCTTGTAGTTCTTGAATAATGCTATGAAGTTACCCCTGCACCTTCTCTACCTTCTCTCTAGGTTGAATGTCATTTATTTCAGTTCTCCTCCCTGCACTAATTTTCTAGAACTCTGATAGTTCCTCTTCTCTTTTTTTCTTTCCTGTTGGCTGCCCTTTTTGACATGAGATACCCAAAACTGAACCATATGCCAATGGAACTTCAGAAGTGTCTTAGAAGTGAGTCTTGAGCTTGTACCATTCTTCTGTCAGTCCTTCCAGTAGAAAGTGTTAATTTTAATATTTGCCTGAACACTGTGAGGTAGATCTAGGTGCTTTAGAAGATACTTGAAGTTAATGAACTTTTGTAAATATTGCACAGAGGAGTGAATCTGGACTGCAGGTCCGAAAGGGGAGTTATGTCATACCTGTAGGAACTACAGGAGCTGTAAACATCTGACACTGCTTCAGAATTTCAGCTCTAGGAATATTTCAGCTCTCAGAATGTCCCTCAACTCTGAGGATGTTTGTATTTCCACCTGCAGCTTGTGTGGGTACCTGAGCTGACTGAAGCGGGGAGAGAAAGCAGCAGAGCTGTCATGCTGAACACACAGCCGTGGGTAGAGCCTCACACTGGCTGAGTATTCAGCCGCCTTCTGCAACAGGTTTTGCAGTCTGGAGGGGGAAAGTTGCAGGCGGCTGAACTTGCGTGAGCTGACAGCTACCTTGTCCTGTGTCTAACCGCACTGTACATGCCATACCCACTGCTCTGGGCTAGGGCTCTGATGAGACTGCCTCTAAAGGCAGTGGCCACGCCGATCCAGAAGCGAGTTTCTCTGTTACCTGAGCTATCAGGCTGGGGTAGCGATGCCGTGTGTGTGTGCTGTTGCCAAGCGCAAGTGGTGTGGCCTTTTGGGCCGCGGTGCTGGCGGGGCACCCGCGCCCGTCCCCGTCCCGCAGCGGCCG